AGAATGCATTTGCTCCCCCTCACAGATGAGAGGGAGCCATCCATTATTTCTTCATATTCTTCTTATCCATTACTTCAGACCTATATCATTGAATGATGAAAATGTATAAGACGAATCATGTTTCATAAGAAATGTTTCTGTTGTTTGCTGTTTGATCTTTGCCTGAAAAACAGGGTGAAAATCTAAAGATCCCACCTTGTTTTTCAAGCAAACCTGAAAACCTATTACAGTCAAAAGTCGTTAATCCGGACTCGTAGGGACTTCGGCGATTCCGGTTATCGATTTTTCCGGATTATAGATCATCAGTTTAAATCTGGTAAGATGGCATGCAAAAATTACAAAATTAAAAATATGAAACCGTAATTTATGAAATAAAGAACAATTATGATCTAAAGGGTATCAAAATTTACAAAAAGAAAAAGCTTAATATTTATTTGTTTACTTTATTAAGCATTTCTTTCAATGTAAGTTGCTTCTTTCATGTGATAATACTTTCTCTTTAATTGTATTAAACAGACATAATTTCTTGTTTAGTTACAAAGTTCTGCTGTTCAAGTCTATAATTAATTGCTGTCGTTGAATTGTGTTGAGAATACCGACTAATTTGTCAATCGAAATGTTTTCGTTTTCAATAACCTCTGTTACTTTCACTTTCTTCACTATCGGAAGCGAATTATAATGACGAGGAACTTGATTTAAATCATATCAAAGACGGAGTACATCGAGATGAAATACTACACTTAGTAAGGATTATAAGCCAAATAAAATATAAAACATCTGCCCTGAAGATAAGGATAGTGCTGACAGATCAACTTCCAATCCGCGGCGTGAAATTGATAAACAGATTTCGGATTTCAAAACATACTTTCACTTTGTAGATACAAATTACGTATTAGTAAATATATATCGGAAATTCTATTTGACATAATCGAAAGTTCAAGCTTACTTTTATGAAATTGCTCTAACAGTCTGCAAAAAATAATAAGCCAGATCCAATTCGAAGATTACGGAACAACGCAATCTGCAACATTAACTGAATTTTTAGCTTAGCTTATACCTCCGTTACACATTAAACGCGCATGCGCAGAAACATATTCGCAGACGTAAAGGTCTTACGTGCACTCTTAAACGCCTGTGCGCATGCGTGAATGCGACGCATGCGCAGAAAGTTTGTAGCTTTGAGGTCCGGATTATGGGTGTCTGAATTAACGACTTTTGACTGTAGAACCTTTCAGATCTTCACCTGAAAAACAAGGGAAAGCTTGTATTGTAAAGCCACTCGAATCACACTGTTTGGCAATATTATCACTGTTGTTCTACATCACACTGTTTGGTAATATTATCCTATGTGTGGTTTAGGGTGATTTTACAAGATTTTTGTTTGGTTACTTTTTCAGGAAATTAATTTCTAAAAATCTCTGGTTACTCAATTGCCAAACAGCTGGGCTTTTACTGAAATATCTTATGCCTGAAAATATTCACACAAAAAGTAAGATATTACCCTAGTGAGCCTTCCTAAGATTGTTTATAGATGTTTATAAGCACATGAGAATAAAAGATGTATATTTGCAAAAAAATAAAAAATCACACTTGTTAATTTTTGCAAGTGTGAATAAATTCAAATTCCATATAATTCCAACTTTTCCAAACATGTTAGTAGCAAGAAAAAAAAAAAATTTCTTCTTTTAACGTTCAAAGAATATTGCAATTTATATATATATATAGCAAGTCAAACAAACAATACTTTGATACGAATTGATTTTATAATAAGTATTGTCAAAGATGTACTGAAATATAAAATATAATTTTGAATTACCAAAAGATTCTGATCAGCACCACAAAAATCTTGTAATTAAGTTTGATGTTAAAATAAGCAACTCCTTTAGCTTTTATTTACCTAAATAAAATTTTTATTAACAAATGTTCTGAACAAAATTCAGTACTACTCCATTTTGGAGAGCTGTTGGCGATGGTTAAATTTTGTTCACCGAATCAAACACCACACGTAAAATAAGCCAAAAATCTGAAATCTAGATCCTTAACTCAAATTATTAATTCATTGAGTTATTAGTATTAAGCATAGTTTTTAATAGCTCCTAACATCAAAGAAAAAAAATGTTAGTTTTTTTTATGCATCCGTCACCACATAAACTCGGACAACCAATTCGAGGTGTTGTGCCTCAGGTCATCTGTCACACCATTTTGCACTTCACCACAGGCACTCTACCATCTCAGTGTAACATCCACTTTCTGCATCAACAAAATGAATTGTGATTCAGAGTATGAAGCCGGCATCTCACAGTTCATCCGATTTATATGCCTTCTAAGAATCTGTGTAAACAATTGTTCTTTACATGAGATTTCCCTTAATGACAGCTGTTGTGAAACTGATTAGCTGTATCTAACAAATATTAAAAACAAATCTCTTCATTTTGATGTACGAGACACAGATGGCGTTGGCTGTCATTGAAGTAGGAAGAAAAAAAGGGTTTTCCCCTTTCGACCTCGTGACGTGAACTGATTAAGTGTGTAATAACTTTCGGGGCCAGAAAAATTTCCCGACAATTGTTAAAAAATGTATATATTTTGTAGTATAGAGAGAATATAATTAAATAAATCAACATATTAGAGTTTTTATTACAGATTCAACATCACACTACCCAGGTAAGTGAGCAAGTTTTGTCTTTAGTTTTTCTGGATTGCTCGGTATCTGGGATGAGTGAAGGAAGTATTTTTATTTTAATGATATTTAATGATAAGACTATGTTTTAGTAATAACAAAAAGTGGCGTCCCGTGACAGGACTCTTAAGAAATAAACTTTAAAAAAAATATTTTAATGGTTATAGATAGTTTTTGATGTATTAAAGTATAATTAAGTTTAAATTCGAAACTATTTTTTGTAAAGCAGTTTGTTTTATTTTGAAAGTTAACTATGGAAGCTTTAAAGGCTCTGAAACTTAAACGGGCAGGTTTACGCACTTCTTTTGCAAAAACTGCTAATATTTTAAAAACGGAATTAGTAAAAGAAGATTTTTCTGTAGATTTAGTACGAGATAAACTTACTAAACTACAAAATGTATATTCAGATATAAAAAATGTAGATGATAAAATTCTTGATTTGTTAGCTGAAGACGGGAAAACTTTAGAGGATGATGTTACTAAAGAAATCGAAAGTCGCGAGGTGTATTCTGATGATTTCATAACACTAACTCGGCAAATTAATGAAAAATTGCAATTTTCAGATGAAATCAATTTAGAAACAAGACCAAATGATGGTGCTGGTATTTGTTGTAGTAAGATTAAACAGTATAGACTTCCGAAAATCGAACTTAAGAAGTTTGATGGGGAATTGATAAATTGGTTACCGTTTTGGTCGCAGTTTGAGAAAATTCACACTGACCCTGATTTATATGAAAGTGACAAATTTTCCTATTTGATTCAGTGTATGAAGCCCGGATCACGTGCTAAAGAATTCATTGAAAGCTATCCGGTGACTTCGGAAAATTATGATAAAGCTGTTTTAGCTTTGAAGGAACGTTTTGGGAAACCTGAATTATTAGTAGAAGTGTATGTTAGGGAACTAATTAAATTAATTGTTTCTAATGTGAAGGCAGATCAAAAGGATAAATTACCTCTTGATAAACTGTATGATAAAATTGAAGCTCAGTTGAGAGCCTTAGAGTCTTTAGGTCTTAAATCGAGCGAAAACACATCGTGGTTATTTCCGATGGTGGAATCGTGTCTCACAGAGGATGTTTTTAAAGGCGTGGCAAAGGAGTTCGCTCTTTAACCAGCCTGAAGGAACTGATCTTTCTCTCGCCTTACCAACTTAATGAAATTTTTAAAGTCTGAAGTGGAGGGTGAGGAGAGATTAAAATTGGCGCGCGTAATGGACTCGATGGTGTTAGTCGTAAAGAAGGATATCATGATAAAGCAAAGAGGGAAACAAAAGGTAAATTTAAATTTAAGAAACAGGGAAATGTTCCCACTGCCACAGGTTTTCTTACAACCAGAGAACATGCATGTATTTTTTGTGGTAAAATGCATGATAGTAAAAATTGTTACGATGCGCGTTCATTATCTCTTAATGAAAGGATTTCTAAAGTTAAGGAGAAAAAATGCTGTTTAAAATGCTTGGAACCAAATCATATGGCAAAGTTCTGTAAACAGTTTGTTAGGTGTTTTGCTTGTGGTAAATCACACTCAGTTATTTTGTGTCCGGACATTAATAATGAAACTGAACTTCCTACAGAAAAATCAGAAATAGACAACATACATACGGCTACAGCCAGGCAAACTTGTACCGCTGACGTAGCTTTAATGACTTTACGCGTAAGAGTAGCTGGTGTCAAAAAGCATAAAGATGTTAGAGTACTCTTAGATTGTGGTTCCCAGAAATCGTATATTTTGAAATCATTAGCCACTGAATTGGGGTTACCAATTATTTCCAAAGAAAATGTTGCTCTTACTTTATTTGGAGGTGCCAGAACAGAGGCAAAGATGCATAACAAATATTTGGTAAAATTATGTTCAGCCAGTCCGCGTAAGTATTCAGATCTAGAATTTGAATTTTTAGATCAAGACATAATATGTGGGGATATACCTCGGGTACCCAAGGGTCCAATATTAAAAGAATTAAAACGAAACAACATTTGGTTGTCGGATCTGGGAGCAGATTGTCCAAAAATAGAAATGCTCATCGGTAGTGATATTTATGGAAAAATTCTCACGGGATCAGTAAAACAATTAAAAGGAGGACTAACAGCAGTTTGTACAAAACTTGGTTGGACAGTTTGTGGTGTATCGGAGGAATTTGTTAATCACAAAGATAAAGATGCTTCCATTTTGTGTGCAAGTTTAGTGGGTCACGACTTTAAAATCTCCGATCTTTGGAGTTTAGAAACGATCGGAATATTAGATGCTCACCAGAATTCAACTAACGCTGCTGAGGAAGAAATTGCCCACGAACAATTTTTAAACTCTCTTTCCAGAAACGAAGATGGTCGTTATTGTGTCGGATTACCTTGGTTAGTATATAACGCAGAATTGCCATCAAATCGTCATGTAGCAGAAAAAAGATTGTTCAGTGTCACCCGAAAACTCAAGTCTTTACATAAATATGAAGAATATGATAGAATTTTTAATGAATGGATGGAGGAGGGTGTAATTGAAATAGTACCAGACAATGAACTGAATTATAAAGGGCACTACTTACCGCATCACCCAGTATTTAAACCAGACAGTGTCTCAACTAAGATAAGACCTGTTTTTGACGCATCATGTAAAGTTAATAGATCGCCCTCCCTTAATGATTACTTAGTAAAAGGACCAAATTTAATAGAAGAAATCCCTTCAATTTTGTTAAGATTTAGAGAAAAATGCATTGGCGTAACCTCTGATATCCGGCGTGCATTTTTACAGATTGAATTACGGAAAGAAGATAGGGACTTTTTAAGATTTTTATGGTGGGAGAAAGATAATGTACTGAAGGTTTTCCGCCATACGAGGGTAGTTTTTGGAGTAAAGTCTAGCCCTTTTCTATTAGGAGCGGTTATTTCAGTTCATTTGGCACAAGTACCAAAGGAACAAAGTTCTATTGCTCAGAAATTAAATAAATCCTTTTATATTGATAATTGTGTGACTTCTGTTGATAACGAAAAGGAGCTTGTGAATTTTGTGAAATCTTCTACTGAAATATTAGCTGAAGCAAAAATGGACTTACGTATGTGGACCTATGGCCCAGTAGAAAAAGATGTGGAACTAACCCAAAGTACTTTGTGCACTGAGTCCACAATGGAGAATTCTGTACCAGTTTTAGGAATTATGTGGGACAGAATAGAAGATAACCTTTATATTGAAATTAAGACTGTATTGGTTTCGGATAATTTGTCTAAAAGAGAGGTTTTGTCAGTAACGCAGACAATGTTTGATCCTTTGGGTTTCTTGACACCTGTTTTATTGCCTGCAAAGTTACTGCTACAGGAAATTTGGGCGATAAAAGCAGACTGGGATACTCCATTACCAGATAGTATCAAAAGTAAATTTTCGAGGTGGTATAATAAATTACAAATTTTGAATAAGTTGAGAATACCGCGACGTATAGGTTTTGGAGATAGAAGTTCCTGGACACTTCATGTATTTTGTGATGCTAGCCAGCATGCTTATGCCACGGTAATATTTTTGAGATGCGAAACTAAAGAAGAAAGAAACATTAGTCAGTTTTGTAATGGCTAAGTCAAGAGTCGCACCCTTAAAAGAACTTACTATTCCCCGTCTAGAACTTATGGCCTGTCTTTTGGGCGTGCGTCTTTCCAAATATGTGACAGAAGCTCTTACATTGGATGACATCCCGAAATATTTTGGGGACCGATTCCACCACGGCCATATCTTGGATTCAAAGAAATGATGCGTGGGGGACTTTTGTGGGCAATCGCGTGAAGGAAATTTGCGCTTTCACTACTAAAGCAAATCAGTGGTCATATGTACAGGGTCATTCTAACCCAGCTGATTTACCTTCTCGTGGTTGTTCCCCTCTTCAGTTTTTCGAATTAAATTGGTGGAGAGGGCCTGTTTGGCTCAAAGACCCTAGAGATAGCTGGCCAAAATTAGAGGTTAAGCCAAATGAAACTTTAGTTTTTTCAGAGCGCAGGAAAGGCATAAATTTAAATGTAAATCTTAGTATAACTACAAAAGCGGATAAAGTTAAGTGGTGTGAGAAGTTCTCTAAATTTTCAAAAATGTTAAGAGTTTTAGGTTGGATAAAGAGATTTATCAAAAATTGTCAAAAGAAAATTGTAAATAAAGAGCCTTTTCTGTCTGCTTCCGAGATAAAGGAATCTAAAATTATACTTCTTTCACTTGTTCAGGGGGAGAGAGTTTTCCAGAGACTGGAGACTCCATCAATGGTCTTTTGACCGTACGAGATCAGAGTGGCTTAAGAAGAGTAAAAACGAAAATCACCGAACGAGATGATTCTTATGCATTCCGGTACCCGATTTTATTACCTTCTAAGCATTATATTGTTGACTGTTTAATTAGAGATTACCATTTAAAGCATTCTCATGCCGGCGTACAAGCATTAACTGTTATAATTAGAGAAGAATTCTGGATCATTGGTGCAAGACGCCGAATTAGATCGGTGGTGAAACAGTGCGTCCGTTGTAAACGATTTTCAGCAAAACCTCCAACTACTGCACCCATTCAATTACCATTAGACAGAGTTCGAGATGCTTTCGCATTTGAAGTTACCGGCATAGATTTATGTGGCCCTCTGATTCTCAAAAATAAAAACAAAACCTGGGTAGTACTGTTTACGTGTGCTGTATATAGATGTGTACATTTGGAACTAGTGACATCCGTAAGTACCGAATGCTTCATTCAAGCGTTTCGTCGGTTCATAGCCAGAAGAGGTCGGCCATCTACAGTTTATTCAGACAACGGCACAAATTTCGTCGGTACATCTGCATTGCTGAAAAAGGTTGACTGGGTAAAGGTAATTGCTCAGGAAACTTTGCATCCCATCACTTGGAAGTTCATTCCGCCCACTGCTGCTTGGTGGGGCGGATGGTGGGAGCGTCTAATCCGCACAGCCAAGAATTTGATTGTGAGAGTCTTAGGACAAGCTGCAGTCAATTACGAAGAGTTACTCACCGTCATCTGTGATGTGGAAGCCGTAATAAACTGTCGACCACTTACTTATGTGTCAAATGACTCTGAGGATCTTCTACCATTAACGCCTTCCATGTTCTTACAGGACATTAAGGTTTCAGGTACAGCAGATTTGGATGCTTTAGATCGAAATAAACTCTTGGCTCGTCAGCGTTTCTGCCAGGAACTTCGAGAACAATTTCGTAGCCGTTTCCGCAAGGAGTACCTTGGACAGTTAGTACAAAAGCATGGACAGACGGACTGTGAATTAAAAGTTGGAGACATCGTGCTAATAGGTTGTGAGAACCTTAAAAGAGTGAACTGGCCAATTGCTCGTGTCCAAGAACTTTGTACAAGCAGAGATGGACGTGTAAGTGTAAGAGTTGTAAAAGTGAAAACTAGAAATGGCATACTGATTCGTCCTGTACGTAAACTGTACCCTCTAGAAGTGTGTTCCTGTACTAAGGATACCATTATTTGATTTTTGATTTTCCTTCTGAAAATCAAAAAGGTGGGAGTGTTGTGAAACTGATTAGCTGTATCTAACAAATATTAAAAACAAATCTCTTCATTTTGATGTACGAGACACAGATGGCGTTGGCTGTCATTGAAGTAGGAAGAAAAAAAGGGTTTTCCCCTTTCGACCTCGTGACGTGAACTGATTAAGATGTGTAATAACTTTCGGGGCCAGAAAAAATTTCCCGACAATTGTTAAAAAATGTATATATTTTGTAGTATAGAGAGAATATAATTAGATAAATCAACATATTAGAGTTTTTATTACAGATTCAACATCACACTACCCAGGTAAGTGAGCAAGTTTTGTCTTTAGTTTTTCTGGATTGCTCGGTATCTGGGATGAGTGAAGGAAGTATTTTTATTTTAATGATATTTAATGATAAGACTATGTTTTAGTAATAACAAGGAAAGCAAATGAGTTCCGCTCCTCAATCGGAAAGTATCGCTGGCACTGCTATACAAATATGTTTGGGCATATCACGTCGTTTGCTCACAGTCCACTGATGAGAATAAAAAATTAAGATATATTAGCCCATTGATAATATAATTTCATCAAACAGCGGAACAAAACACCACTTTATTTCCGGTCGGACATGGTATCAGTACATCAGGTTACAGGTGAATTGAATGCAGTTAAAAAAACACAAGAGAAAAAATTAGGAACTTAGGCAATCAAATAAACAATAACAAAAATTACAAAAAACACTTTAAAAAATCAGTTTGCAATATTACGATCAACCAGTATTTTTCCTTTCTAATTAATCATTATTTATAATTTATTATTATTATTCCCAAATTTCATCAGCAGGCGAGCCATATTCAAACTGTGATAGACTGCTTACTGTATAGTGCAGCCATCTGGGGTGAGATAGTTAAGTGAATGTTGCTTAAACAAAACTATGGCGTTTGTATCACATAACTGTTTTTAATTATTAATGCGATAGTTGTATAGTGATGAGATTATGCAAGCCAAGTTTTTTTTCAAATAGGATTAATATATATCATTAAAGCACTTTTTACTGCATTTCGTGCATTTTTTTCACGCGTAATTCTTATAACAAACATCTTAACTTTGGTAAAAACGGTAAAAACTCTAAGCACAAAATTTATGTACTTAATTTTGCGTAAAAATAAAGTTAAATTAAATAAGACTGATAGTATGTGATGCTTTGAAATAAATAAGGTAAAATTAATTAAACAAGATCTGATAATTAAAAAAAAAAAGTTAATGAACATTTTCAGGCAGTGATTTTCCAAACTATAATAACATTACGAAACAATTATTTGATTATATGCTCATTAAATTATTAACATTAAAGTGGATTAGTTATTTTAATAATTCATAAATTTCGGAGCATAAAATTTTCTGAGCGTAATGAAGGGAAAGATAAAATAAAATCTAGAAGCACTCAGATTTTATATTACGCCCAAAAGGAGCCTTTTTTTAAAGTTTTGTGTGTTACCTATATTTATTGAATATCATGTTATTCGCCCGTAAACCACATGTATTTGAAAACAGCATATCTTTAGATTTTCCGCACTGGAGATAAAACTGTTATTTTCCGTATAGAGCTCGCTCTGAACTAGCTGAGTTTGTTAATCAAAAATTCATTAAAGTTTTACAAAATATGAAATAGATTAAAACAAATTCGAAATTCGGCCGTCCAGATGCCTATGTTCGGGTGGAGGATTACATTATTCAAAATTTGATGGCTCTTGTTACTGTCGTTTTGCACAGTGCGAGAAACATACATGTATTCATGCAGATTCTTCATTATTTAATTTCTTTACATATAATACAGGGCGATAATATTGGATAACAACAATTTGCAAGGAGACGGACATTTATAGTAAAACAGCGCAAAATGCCACTTCGAAACTAACAGCCTTTCTAATCTACCGCCGCTTTGGGCTAATAAATTAAATTAACAGTAAGTAAAAAAAAATCTTATGCAGAACTAAAAATATATTTAAAAAAAATAATCACTATAAAATAAAAGCAAAATTAATTATTACTGGTTAAATACAATTTTAATATTAGAATTAAATGTATAAAAATTTTTAAGGATTCAAAAGTGTTTATCACTATGATGTATTATGAAATTTAATTGAAATAAAATTGCTTTATAGAAATTATGTTGTAATAATCATCTAATTAATTGTAATAATCACATTTCTTTCAACGCGCGCATGCACTGAAAGAACTATGCGTAAAGCATTGACTATGCGTAAAGCAATAGTCAAAATTAGAAAATTGCAACCAGAAAACTATTTGATGTGCATTCGTGATATTTATAATGACGAGGAATTTGATTTAAATCATATCAAAGACGAAGTACATCAAGATGAAATACTACACTTAGTAAAGAATTATATGTCGAATAAAAAAAACATCTGCCCTGAAGATAAGGATAGTGCTGACAGATCAACTTCCAGTTCATTGTGCGCCGCGACGTTCCCCCCCCCCCGCAGAGCAGCATGAAATTTATTAACAGATTTCGGAATGGTTAGAGAAACAAAGGATGTGCTTTTATCCCTTTTTTGCCGCAATTCCACCTTTTTGTTTGATGGACATCGAAACATGCTTTCGCTTTGTAGATCCTTTGGCAGCTCCAGAATCGGAAATTCTTTTTGACATAATCGAAAGTTCAAGCTTACTTTTATAAAATTGCTCTAACAGTCTGCAAAAAATAATAAGCCGGATCCAATTAGAAGATTAAGGAAGAACGCAATCTGCATCATTAACTTAGAGAATTAGATAATTTTAGCTTAACTTATACCGTCCGTTATACATTAAACACGCATGCATAAACGTATTGTGCGCATGCGTGAAAGCATTATGCGTTGACGCATGCGCAGAACGTTTGTAGCTTTGAGGTCCGGATTATAGATCATTCTGGATTATGGACGTCCGTATTAAAGACTTTTGACTGTATTTTTACGTTCAACTTGAACGTTTTTTATACGAAGGGACTGCCTGGGGCGGACCATAGAATAACGTTCTGCTCCCCATGAAGTAGTGGTAAGGACATTCAGTATGTTGAGAGTTTTAGCACATTTTTTTCTTTAAATTTAAGATTAACGGAAGGAAAGTGAGCTTTCTGTCAAATGTAACTCCTAGGAGAATTTTGCTTCTGGCTCAACGCGGATCAAAGAGCCGTCAAGATGCAGCTCTGATTCATAATGTAGATTTCTTTTGCGACAGAAATGCACGCAGACGGTCTTCTGGCTAGAAAATTTAAAAACATTGTTGTTGGACCACTTTATTATTCTGTTTAGAGTAATTTGCAGTTGTCTCTCAATATATCTCATATCCTGACCGTGACTTTAGATCATCAAATCATCAACACATAGGGAACCATGCACCGTGGGGGAAGTTCTCTTAAAATAGAATTAATTTTCAGGTTGAAAAAAGTGACACTGAGCACCGAACCTTGGGGTACACCTTCTTGTTGTACAAATACACGAGAAAGCAATGAACCAATCTTAACTTGGAAAGTGCAGTCCCTCAGAGAGTTTTGAATAAAGATAGGTACCCAGTGCTATAAAGGTCATGAAGAGTTCCATGCCGCCAAGTTCTATCATACGCCTTTTCCATGTCAAAGAGAAGATTGAAACCACATGATTTCTTTTCACAAATGCATTGCGTTTCAAAGAACAGGACATTGTCAAGCGAAGATGTTCCCTTACGGAAACCACTTTGGTAAGGCGATAGGCAATTATTCTCCAGATAGTAGGTGAGACGGCGATTTACAATTTCTCCCATGATTTTACAAAGGCAGCTAGTGAGCGCGATGGGGCGATAATTTAAAGGATTTTTCGGATCCTTGCCGGGTTTTCCTATAGTGATTACAAAAGCCCTGCGCCAGCCAGTTGGAAAAATAAGTTCCTTCCATATCTTATTATAAAGAGCGAGAAGGACCACTAGAGATTCATAGGGTAGATGCACTATCATCAAATAACTTATGCCATCAAGACCAGGTCTTACCAATGCGAGATATTATACATCTTAATTCTAACCAAGAAATAAATGTACCCATTATGGATGCCTGTTTTGGTGGGTTTTTCTTTTTCCCCGGGGCAAAAAGGTGTTTCGGAAGGGATAACCCTTGTTCAACCTCCACTTTATCTGACTCGTCTAGGCGTCCTGAACTCATACTTGCAATAGAACTTTGACTGGGGTCCCGAGTTTTTGCTTACTTTTCTCTTTGATAACAGCTCTATGTTTGTACTGTTGGACATACTGTTTTCCTTTGGACGCAGTCACCGGCGTACTACTTTCAACATCAAGTTTTTTTTCCCGATTTTTGGTTTCTAGGATCTTCTGTTATTACTAGTTCTTTTTTAAGTGCAGTTATTGCGGTTTGCATTGATATTGAGCTGAATGATTTTGTTGCGGATGCAAAAGATTTATTAGGTCTCGGCTGATTAAAGAGAACAAGTCTTTTGCAAATGATATTTTTTGTGTAACTTTAATGTTCTGAATTTGTTTTTCTGTCATGCCATTTCGAACATGATCTTGAAAATGTCGGGTGCTCACCTTTACTATTTATACATAAGGGGGCAGCAGAGACCCCATCACTGCCATGGCCTACGATGGAATATCGAGTGCACGTGAGGCTATTATGACAGGAGGTCTTTCCATGTCCAAAGCAATGCATTGGATTTGGTATATACAGCCTGACTGGGCAGTTAAGGTATTCAGCTTTAATGTTCTTAGGCAGGTTAGGAGACTTAAAGGTAAGTATCACATATTTAGTTGGAATCAGTTGACATTCTTTCCGTATTTTGATCCTACGAGCACCACACATGTTTTGATCTGCCAATTCTTTAAGGAATTCCTATTCAGTTACTGATCGTCTATTTCAGAGATTACTCCTTGGGACGAATTTAGAGTTATGTGGCTTAACTGCAATGTTTGCTTGTCCTAATTTAGTTAGATTCAAAAGACTATTAGACTGC